GGCTGGTCCATTTCCAACACCTCCCGAGGTGAAGAGCTGGGGTTTGGCAATTCTGTAATTACTGCTTAGCAAAGATGCCAATTTCTCCCTCTTGGGTCATTTCAAAAAGTGGAAATGAACTTTATTTGTGCTAGATGAGTCAAAGACCACAAAGTCTATAGAATCACATCTCGATCCCAAAAAGGATGTTTTTAGCCAAATTGGGATATGCTTATTTGGGGGAAAGCAAGGTCCTGGTAAACGTCCACTTGAGTAGAGCTGGGGAAGGGAGGAGGTGCTGGAAAAGAAGGTTTTGGAGCCAAGTAAGGACACGGTTTCTGGATTCTATTCGTCTGTGGTTGGCAAAGTAATGGTCTCTAAAGGTGTCCCTGTCATAATCCCAAGAATCTGTGAATGAACATGTTACCTTATATAGCCAAAGGGTCGCTGCAGAAATGATGAAGGACCTGGAGACAGGATGTTATCCTATGCTCTCTGGGTGGGGCCATTGTAATCTCAGGATCCTTACAGTGGGCACAAAGGCCAGAGAGAGACAAGAGAGAACAACCCAAACAGCAGCCAGAGATAAGATCTGCTGCTGAGGTGCTGCAGGTTTAGGAGGTGGAGGAAGGGTCCTGGGCTGAGGAATGCAGGTGGTTCCTGGAAGCTAGAAAAGACAGGGCTATAGAATCCCACAGGTCCACTGTAACTTCTGACCTCTAGAAATGTAAGACAAATTGATGTTTTGTTTTTGTTGTTGTTTTTTTTTTTTTTAAATTTGTGCAGTAATAGGAACCTAATACACCATTCAACACAAAACTCAGCTTTGTTCTTCCAAGGCCTGGGGAACAAACCCATCTGCTCCAGAAACTGAAGTTGCCACAAGCCAAGGTAGAAGCCAGGATCTGAAGGTCAAGGTAGCTGGGATAGTGTGGGAGCCTGGCTGTCAACAGATATCAGCTCCTCCCAACAGATGCGCCCTGGCAACCCTAGGAGGAGAGCAGCTCTGGCTTCCAGACACCTCCTTTCTCCAGTACCTACAGAAGCGTGTACAATGTACACTACTTTCCTCTTTCAAGATACCTTGAAAACATGAAGCCAGGCATAGTGGTGCACACTAGTAATCCCAGCTACTGGGGAGGCTAAGACAGGAGGCTGAGGCAGGAAGATCATAAGCTCAAGGCTACCATAGGCAACTTGGTGAGATCCTGTCTCAAAAATTTTTTTAAAGGCTGGGATGTAACTCAGTGTTAGAGCACTGTGGGTTCAATCCCTCTGCATTGCAATAATAATAATAATAATAATAATAATAATAATAATAATAATAAAATAAAAAAATAAAAAATATTTTTTTAGTTGTAGGTAGACACAATACCTTCATTTTATTTATGTAATGCTGAGGATTGAACCCAGGGCCTCACACATGAGGAGCACTCTACCACTGAGCCCCAGCCCCAGCTCTACATAGCAAATTTTTTTAAAAAAATAAAAAAAGATGGGCTGGGGATGTGGCTCAAGCGGTAGCGCGCTCGCCTGGCATGCGTGTGGCCCGGGTTCGATTCTCAGCACCACATACAAACAAAGATGTTGTGCCTGCCGATAACTAAAAAATAAAACATTAAAAAACTCTCTCTCTCTCACACACACTCTCTCTTAAAAAAAATAAAAAATAAAGAAAATCTGAACTATTGGTTCACACTAGAGTCCTTGCAACTTATTGATTTTCCCTGCCAGTCATTTGCATTTGAGAAAGAACTTGCCCATAGAAAATAATTCCGAACACATCTAAATCTAGACAATGACTCTTGGGATATGCTTATTTGGGGGAAAGCAAGGTCCTGGTAATCGTTCACTTGGGTAGAGCTGGAGAAGGGAGGAGGAAGAACTCAGGTAGAGCACAAACTCAGTGTTGGCAAAGCCTCGCGTTCTATTCCCAGCACTGTGTGCACATCTGTGCACACACACATTCACAAACAAATCTCAGCCAACTCTTTCAAAGGAAGATGGCACGTGAAGATGAAGGCAGAGATCAGGGTGATGTATAGGTGAGACAAGGAACCTCAAAGAATGCCCGCAAACCATCAGAGCCAGGCTAGGCACACAGGGCAGATTCTCCCTCACCGCCTCCACAGGACCAGCCCTGCCGACACCTGGAGCTAAGACAGTAAATTAGCTTAAGCCACCAGGGAGTGCATGCAGGTGCCTCCAAATGCTGGCAGGCAGCTAAAATGAGAACCGTGGGTATGAGTACAGTGGGTGGAAGCTGAGGTACCTGAATTGCAGTCAGGGATGACAAGCCCGAGGATGAGGCTGTGTGGGAGGCAAGGCCAAAAGCCCAGCCGAGGCCAAGTCCCCAGTCTCAGCAAGGACATCCATGAGGACATCACCAAGGCTTGAAGTCACAGCACCACACAGAAACACAAACAAGGCAAAGCCCACAGTCCAGCAGGCAGCCAGGAATCCCGTGTGGCCAGTCTGCTCCTCCGGATCTCCACAAGTGGCACACGGCACCACCAACGGCAGGCGTGGTCAACAGGAAAGAATATCTAGGGGACAGAATGGAAAGGCATTCTAGGGCAGCCCTAGAACACTAGTCTTAAAAATCATCTACAGAGCTGGACACCTCCCTTCCCTCCCAACCTGCCAGGCAATAAACTACCATAAAAAAGGGAAAGAAGCCTTAGGGAAGGGTGAGGTAGCAGGAATCTTCTAACAAAAGCAAGTCGTGAACCTACCACCTGGCCAGGTCCAGTGAATGCCTGCTTTTTTCTCTCTTAAAAAAGTGTGTGTGTGTTTGTGTGTGTGTGGGTTCCCTCAGGTGTGTCTCCCTGGGGAGGCTGCCCACAGGAGGGGGAGGCTGAGAGACAGTGCAAAACAATTCCTTTCATCTGTGAGACAGGTACGACCTGAGAGGCCGGTCCTGCGTTGGCAATCAAGTCAGACCCCCCTGGCTGGCCCAAGCCTGATGCCAGGCGCATGGTGGGCCTTGCTGGACACAGTAACTGGTTGTTTAATCAGAACCTGGGGAGTGAAGCCAGAACAGGGCTCGGAGATGCTTCCTCTTTGGAGACTCTGTGACCACTGGGTTTCTGGGGCAGCTCTGTGGCAAGCAATCCACCAGGCCAACAGATGCCCAATATCCTGGAGAAGCTGGGCAGGGGGAGGCTGCCAGCCTATCCCAGCTTGGCCTCCTAGGCTGGGGGCAGGGCTGGGGGTTTGCTACTCAACTCCCCAGGGAAAGGATTTGGCTGCTTGAGTAAACCCTTTCAAGTTTCAGTTCCCCCAAGTGTCAAGAGCAGAAAGCAACTTGCTTGTGTCCAATCCTGTCTCTTGGGTCAGGAATGCGGATGGGTGAGTTTCTGAGAAGGGATGAAGTTCTTTAGACAGGCCGAAAGGGAAAGGGGTCTGGAAGAGGCACCGCGGTGGGGGGAGGTGAATGACCAGAATGAGGCGGGGCAGAGCAGAGGCTCTTAGAACAGAGGGGGGTGGTGGGGAAACCCAGGCAGGACAGAGGAATCATTGTGTGGAGTGGCACCGGGGCCACAGGGCTTTGCCCTTTGCCTCTCCCCCACTGGGCCTTCCCCAGCTGGGAGGGGAGCTGGGCCCTCCGAAGGCCCAGGGGATAAACAGCCCAGCAGGCTGCCCTGCCTCCCTTTGCAAGCTCCAGCTGTTTCCAGTCAATCCCACCCCCTCCTCGCCAGTCCTAGGACCTAGGGGTTGCAGCCCGTCCCCCCACCCCCCGCCCTCCCGCGAGAGAAACAGGAAGCCCTGTTCCAGGCGGGCTTCATAACCCCGTGCCTCAGTTTCCCCTCTTCACCGCTAACAAGGGCGGCTTGTCAGGCCTGACAGAAGTGTTCTGAGCCAGGAAGCAGAGGCGGGAACCCTGGGTCGTTCTCCGCAGTTGGTCCCTTCCAAGGTTGAGATCCTGGGGTGCATGCCTTCCTACCCGCGTCATCTAGGCTCCAAGATCCGGACCTGGACCCTAACGGGGAAGGAAAAAAAGGGGAGAAGGGAGTGGCGGGCAGACCTGGCTCCTGGCTCCCGAGCGGAGACCCTCCTCCAGCCGATGCTCGCGTCCCCGTAGCGCATGACCGCGGCACTGCGGCTGCAGCGCTGCCCTCCCCTGCCTGCGCGGGATTCCCGGGGTCTGCGCCATAAGGGGGCCAGGGTGCAGGACGCAGTCTCCGCGCATCCGCGGGAGTCACTGATGACGCCCCTGCTCCTTCTCCAGTTTCTTGTTTCCGGGCGTTTCTCCACCCGTGAACGCGTCGCTGAGTCACCTTCTCAGGGCGCTCTCGGAACGCTGGGGACCCGGCCCCGGGCTGTGCCGGGACCGCGCAAAGCGGAAGCACACACTGCTAGGACGCGTGCGGACCGCGACTTGGGAAGTCCCATCCTGAAGGCTCCGTCGGGGGACTCCCACGTGTTGGGAAAGGGGGTCAGGCTGGGGGTCCGCTGGAAGAGAAGACACCACCGAGGCGTGCCCGGATTCAGGGCGCCACCGGGCAACTCGGCTCTGCGGTCCTCCCGGGCAGCCTCTTTAGGAAGCTATAGAAGGGAGGTGTGGGGGGTCGGGCAGGGGCCGGCGAGGGACGTGGGCTCTCCGCAGCCAGGGCCTGGCACGTCTGAATCTCCTGCGGGTCCCCCTCCCAAGTGTGGCCCTACCTGGTCAGGTTATCAGTTCGGCCTTGGCAACGTCTTCCTCCTAGTCTCCGCCAATAACCTTCCAGGGATTTAATTCGAGTTGTTCACGGACACGTTCTCGTCACTTGCCGCGGAATATTTCAGACGCGGACACGCGTGCGGTTTGCCAATTGAAGCAGAAACTCCCTGGCGCGTTTGCGTCTTCGCGCGGAGCCAGCGGGAGGGGCGGGGGCGGCGGGGCCACGCCCTCCGAGCTTGCCTCTCGGTCCGGATCTGGACCCCTAGGCCTTCCACACTGCTGGACTCCTCTCCAGCAGGCGAGGAACGCGGACCTGGACTGCTAGCTGCGGACAGCTTCTCTGGCCCAGGTGAGCCTTGATGGTGTTCCCAGGGAAAGGTTCCAACTTCGGGGGTTGCTGACAAAGCTCCCTCCTCCCGACCGCGTACTCCGACGCGGAGCCCCAGGGCCAGTCCAGATCTGCTCGGGACGCCGCGCCCGGCTGCTTTGGGTTCGTTGTGGGTGTGTGGCCCAGCGGCAGTCAGGAAGTTAAAAATAGCCCTCCGCGGGAGACCTGGGGAGGAAGAAAGAGAAAGCCCGCGAGTGGCTGGTGAGATATCCCAGCTCGGGAGAATGGGCGCCTGGCGGGGTCCGGGACTTCGAATTCCGGGTGGGCGTGCGAAGGAGTCACGGCATCCTGGCTTCGAGCAGCGAGGACAGGTCTGCCGGTAGCGCTGGGGGCTGCGAAATCGCGGTGTCCAGGCGCAGTCTAGGGTCTTCCCAGAGCTCAAGATCACACGCGCCCGGTGCCTACTCAAACTCTGGGCACCCAGGCGTATTCGCGCGGGGCTTGCACCTCGGCTTGTGCGGCGAGCTCACCTTCGCGCGCCGGGGACGCTGTGCTCCTCCAGTCCCTCGGCGGCGCCACCTACTATGAGCGGCGGGAGCGCGCATCCGCATCCCAAGACTCTGTCGAGAACCTGCGTGTGGCGGTGGGCGCGGACCGTGCTGGGGGTGGCGTGGTGAGGCCAGGGTCAGGGCCCGGGTCCACATCGACCCCCAGTTCCACCTCCGCTAGCTGAAGCAACGAGGGGCGTGGTTAGGCCGGCGTCCAAACAGAGAGCCCTCCCCACGCCGCGGCGCCTCGCAGTGAAGTTGAGCGAAAAGTTTGAGGCCAGAGGCAGCGAGACCCGGGAGTCTGTGCCAGCCCGGCGCTTCAGTTGTCACTCAGATGCGGGGCTGAGCCTGGAACGAGCCTCGTTCCGCCCCCAGGCCACTATAGGGAACGGCGTTTTCGCCTTGCCAGCAAACCAGACCGACTGGGTAGGGCCGCCCGCCCTGCCCTCCCGTGGCTGGTGGCTCCTGGGCGGCCCGCCCTCGCGGGGCCCTGGGGAACTGGGCCACGCACCGCGAGGTCCTGTGCCCACTTGCGCTCCGGCAGAGCAGGCGGCAACTGTTGGCTCAGCTCCGGCTCGGCTCTCGCGCTACGAACGCTGCTCCCACCAACGCAGCGAGCATCCAGGCGGAGCAGGGTTCTTGGAGGTGTGCCACGGCCCCAGCTTCTCTGAAACTCGGGGCCGGGGACGCGAGGACCGGGCTGTCTGGGACTGGGATCTTCGCTCCATACTTTGTGCCTCGCGATGTCCGCTCAAGTTCTGGGATTTTTGCGCAACTGGACTCCCCTCTCCCTGGCAGCCGGACAGGGTGAGGAGCTGGTCCGACAGAGAGAGCCATGGGGCTCTGACTCATCCCTCGGGCTGGAACCCAAAGCCCCAAAGAGGAATGTCCTGGGGAAGAGACCCTTCGTTTCGAGGGATTGGGGACTCAGTTGCTTGGTGACACCGGACGTCCTTCCAGAAAGCTAGGTCCCCACGGGCTTATGGCGATTCAGAAGCGCGCCACTCCTGGTGCGTGGTCCCGGCATCTGGCTGGGCGCCGCCTCCCGCACCAGGAGCTGCTGCCCTGGGCTCCTCCAGCGCTGCCTCCTCTTGTCCCGCAGATCTGGCCGCTGCAGGGAATGACGCGGTTGCCCCCACAGCCCCGGCTCCGGGCGGGGAGGGCGAGCCCCACAGCCAACCTCGCGACGCCCTCCTGGGCAGCACCGATAAGGAGCTGAAAGCTCGAGCCGCGGTCACCGAGGGCAGCGCCGCAACAACGCTGGGGACCCCCTGGCAGCGGGAGCCGCAGGTCGAGGCTATGGATCCAGGTTTGTGGGAGTCTGGGAAGAGCTGTAGGGTTCTCTCCCTCGCCAGAAATATTGGAACTCCGAAAGAGAGGATCTGGGGACTCTGGAGAGAAATACTTTCCCCCTGGAGACTGGAAGCCTACCAGGCCTGAGCCAAGAAAAGGGGGATCGGGGCAGCGCGCCCCACCCCAGAATTCCCCTCGGGAGGTCGTGTCCTCTGGTTGGGCTCTATTGGGTTAAGAACCCGGGTATTGCTGGCGCTGCGTTTCCACCCCACTGCCCTTGTTGCTCTTCTCGGCCCCCTAGTGGCCGGTTGGGGGCGCGGCTTTCTCAGGTTTGTTTTTGTAGCGAGTGGCCCCCGGAGCCTGCTCCCCCGGCCTTGCCGTGTGTTGGTGCTGCTGAACCCGCGCGGCGGCAAGGGCAAGGCCCTGCAGCTCTTCCAGAGCCTCGTGCAGCCCCTTCTTGCCGAGGCCGAAGTCTCCTTCACTCTGATGCTCACTGGTGAGTCTCCTTTACACTGGCCGAGACTCGGGCAGCATCCCCTGCCAGAACCAGCCCTGAGAACTGCATGTCTCCTACAGAAAGGAGGAACCACGCACGGGAACTGGTGCGGGCGGAGGAGCTGGGCCGCTGGGATGCTCTGGTGGTCATGTCTGGGGATGGGCTGATGCATGAGGTGAGGCCTGCACCAGAGGCTGGCCGGGGTTCGGGCATGGGTCGAGTGGGGCTTCCAGGGCTGAGCCCTCATGCCAACAGGTGGTGAATGGACTCATGGAGCGCCCAGACTGGGAGACGGCCATCCAGAAACCCTTGTGTAGCCTCCCAGCAGGCTCTGGCAACGCTCTGGCAGCTTCCTTGAACCACTATGCTGGGTGAGAGCCCAGGGCCAGAGTGGGCCTCCATTTCCCCCGGGTGCCCACTTCTGCCAGGTTTTCTTTTCTAAGTTCCCATATACGGGAGTAACGTCCACTTCACCTTTATCCCTCCAGGCTGGCTCTCAGTTCTGGGGCCTGCTCCTGGTGGGCCAAGCTGGCTGCATTCACCTGTTCTCTGTCACTGCCCCTGCTAACTCTCTAGGGAGTGTGTGTTGCTATGCCTGCAGGCAAAAGGGAGGAGGAAGGGAAGGATGCACGGGGTTCCTCCCCTGCCCCATCAGACCCTTTCCCCTGCAGCTATGAGCAGGTGACTAATGAGGACCTCCTGACCAACTGCACGCAGCTGCTGTGCCAACGGCTCCTGTCACCCATGAACCTGCTGTCTTTGCACACGGCCTCGGGGCTGCGCCTCTTCTCTGTGCTCAGCCTGGCCTGGGGCTTCATTGCTGATGTGGACCTGGAAAGTGAGAAGTATCGGCGCTTGGGGGAGATGCGCTTCACTCTGGGGACCTTCCTGCGCCTAGCAGCCCTGCGCACCTACCGGGGGCAACTGGCCTATCTCCCCGCAGGAAGTGCTGTTTCTAAGATGCCCACCTCCCCTGCTCTAATGCAGCAGGGCCCTGTGGACGCACACCTTGTTCCCCTGGAGGAGCCAGTGCCCTCTCACTGGACCGTGGTGCCCCATCAGGACTTTGTACTGGTGCTGGCGCTGCTGCACACCCACCTGGGCAGTGAGATGTTTGCTGCACCCATGGGCCGCTGTGCAGCTGGTGTCATGCATCTGTTCTACGTGAGAGCAGGGGTGTCCAGGACCATGCTGCTGCGCCTCTTCCTGGCCATGGAGAAGGGCAAGCACATGGAGTATGACTGTCCCTACTTGGTACATGTGCCTGTGGTTGCCTTCCGCCTGGAGCCTAAGGATGGGAGGGGTGTGTTTGCTGTGGATGGGGAGTTGATGGTCAGTGAGGCTGTGCAGGGCCAAGTGCACCCAGACTACTTCTGGATGGTCAGTGGTGGCTGCAGGGGTCCCCCACCCAGCCAGGAACCCCAGCAGATGCCACCTCCAGAAGAGCCTTTATGACCCCACGGGCTTGCTGTGCCTTTGTCTGCTGCGTGTAGGCTGAGCTTGGGACCCTGTCCTTCCCCCAGGACAGGGGACCTCTCCACAGCTTCTGGGGGTGATGGGGCCTCCTCTGGAAAAGGGTAGGAAGGTGGTAGAGGCTAGGCTTTGGGAAGTTCAGGCTCTACCCACCACAGAACAAGGCCATAGGCAGGAGCCCTGCTGGGTGGGCCAGGTGTCTGTGAAAGGTATTTCTGTTTATTCTGGAAGCCCTGTCCCATGAATCAAATTCAAATAAAAGTGACATTCTTAGCCTGCTAGTCCTGTCCTGGGGACAGGGAGGGAATGGGGTCTTGCTCCGCCCAAGGCTACATAATTTAGTGTTAAGGATGCCTAATGGCAATCCCTGGATTGGATAGCACATGGCACAGCCACCTTGGCGATGGGCACACAATAGACCACCCTCAGGCTCAGAGCTTGCAGATCACCTGACCTCACAACTGGGAAGACGGAGACTCCTAGCTCCAGCCTCTTGACTGTGGGCCACACAAGCAGCTGGTCAGCAAATGTGGCTGGACCCTTTTGTGGGTTTCACAGGAAAGGAAAAGCTCTTGTTGAAGGCATGGGGGAAACTCCAGGGAACAAGACACAAGGCATCCTGGAGGGGCTCAGCGCCCAGCCTCACTCAGCAGCCTCTGCCCTTCCCCACTGGTCCTCCTACAGGAGTGCTGGGTGGGGGTTAAAGGGAAGAAGCAGGGAGGAGCAGATACCAATCTCTCAGCTGGGCAACCATTTTGGCTTGCAGCCCAGGAGAATGACACCTGCCTGCCACCAGATGCTGTGATGTCAGCTCTCCCAGAACTGGAAGGAGCTGAAAGGGCCAGCTGGAGGCTGTTGGGGACCACAGCTGCTCAGAGGCAGACACTGCTGCTGAGGACTGGCTCTTGAGGAACACCACACAGGCCAGGTACAGAGCCCAGCTCCAAGGCAGGAGGAAGCCCCACTGAACAGGCCCTGCCTCCCAGCTGTGGCTCCTACCACTGGAGAGGCCAAGGGCCTTTGGGCAGAGGGAGCCAGGACCTGCTGCCACAGCCTTCCCTTCCAGGGAGGTAGTGTGTGAGGGACACTGGCCCGTGAGGAAGAAAGGCAACGGAGCTCAGATGAATGGCAGAGGCAGGTTTAATGGTGTCACCTTGTCTTGTTAATGAGCCAAACAAACAAACAAAAAAAAATGCAAGTAAAAAAAAAGTTTAATCACACAGCACTTTATACAGATATTGTAAGCAGTGGGCATTCACATCTCCACACAACTCCACCGGGAGCTGCAGCCCCACCAGACACTTGATGTTCTGAAGACACCAGTGAGTGCCTGAGTGTGGCCCAGCTCCGCCACTCCCATGGCTCTGCTGCCTGGGTGGTCCTCACAGCACAGGCGTGGAGCCCACTTAAGGCTGACAAGACGCATCATGCTTTGGCTTTTTTTTTTTTTTGTCTTTTTTTTCTAATAAGAGTTAATATCTTTTGCTTTTGAGATTTATTTTTCCAACCTTAAATATTACATACATACACCAGAAATTACATAGCTGCAATGTGCTCAACAGCATCCTCTGAACCTGGAGCTTCACATTATCAAAAGCTTAGAAAACTTGTAAACCTCTGGGCCCGTTGCAGGAGGGGACTGAGCGCTGCTGCTGCCTCCCTCCTCCCTCTGGACTGCGCCTGCAGAGTTTCTAAGTGGGGGCTGACGGAGGCCTAGATCTCATCCCAGAGAGGCTCCTGCCACCAGATGGGGCGAGGCCCTGCACCCGCCCGCTCACTGGTGTGAGGCTGGAAGGCCAGCAGGTGTCACTGCAGTCCCCATGGGCCTGAGCTGCTGGTGCCCCCACCAGCCACAGACAGGAAGCACAAGGCACCTACAGCTCTTTGTTCTCCACCAGCTCCCTGTCCTCAACTCCATGTTGGTGCATGAGGCCACCACCTCTCCCAGGCAACACCCTGAACCTAGCCTGTCCCAACCTCTCTTAGAGAGCAAGTTCAACAGGCCTAAAGGCTATTATGTGGCCAACGGGCTGGGCTGGGAGTCAGCAACAGCGCTTCAGTTCCCGTGGGATGGTGTCAACGCTAGGGGATGAGGGGCATATCCAGCGGCAGTGGCAGCAGGAGGAGGGTCTGGGACATGGGGAGGCTACAGTCCAATTGAAGAGGTTGAAAGGGACCGGGGACATTGCAGGAGCAGCCCACACTTCATGCAAGGCACATCCACTCTCCTGCCCCGCTGCAGGGTCCCCTGGCCCTGGAACACCCCACCTCTGACCTGAGAAGGGAGACATTCTGCCTGGGCAATATGTGGAAAATCGCAACAAGGTCCCGATTTCCCTGCCACAGGGGACCTGCCCATGTATCGCTTCAGAACAGAAACGCAGCGTTTTGGGGCACTCCTTACACTCAGCATCAAACTTGCCTTGGGGAGCAGAGGGTTGAGGGGCTCACACGGGGGGCCAGGAGGGGAGGTTCCAGGGGAGGGAGTGAGCAGGCAGCAGCTGGCTCTCCCATAGTGATGCTCCTTCCTTGGGGCTGGTGGCTACTTGTCCTCCGTGTGCTCGGGCATGCCTGCCTCCAGCAGGGCGGCCCGGAACTGTGCCAGGACGCCCCGGATGCTCTTGATGAAACCCTTAGAGAGTGGGAAGAGCGGGAAGCCGATGTCAGGGTAGCCACTCTTCTCAGGCAAGAAGCTCCGGTAGCTCTTCCTCCGCTTCTTTGGTTTGACGCTGGGTGGCACTGATGCGTCAGGCGCTGTCTCCGAAACCTGGTCTGTGTGGTCCCTGCTAGTTGAGGCAGGGCACTGGGCACCACCCTCCGAGTCTGAGCCCTGGGAGGCCTCTCCAGGGGCCAGCCCAGAATCCTCAGGTTCTTCACGGCCGGAGTCTGAGAGCTCAGCTGCAGCAGGAGGTTCTGGAGAGCCACTGTCCTTGGGGATGCCATTGGGCAGTGCCTGGGCCCTCTCCAGCAGGGCATGGGTTTCTAGCCAGGACTCCATGCGGTTCACAAGCCGCCAGCCACCAGTGCTGAAGTGCTGCCGGATCTCCTGCTCAAAGACCTCCGGGGGCCGTCGCACCAGCTGGGTCATAGACTGCACCACCCGGATCAGCGCCATCTCGTTGTAGCAGCGGCTGTTCTCGTAGCCTTCCTGCAGGCCCCGGTCACTGTCGAAGCCAGCTTCGTTGTAGTATGGCTCATTCACCAGGATCAGACCTGCAGTGGGCAGGGTCACCCATCAGGCCAAGCCTGGCCACTACCCGCAAGGAGCGGGCCAGTGGGCCACCTTCCACCATTCCCTGTCCACTGCCCAGCCCAACCGCACCTTGAATGGAGATGAGCACCTGGAGAAGACTGGATTTGCTCGTCCACCTCTCTGTCCCCTGAAACACACACAGCACCATGGAGTCTGTCTCCGACACCTGCTCCCATTCTCCCTGCACCTCCACTGGGATGCCGGCACAGCACTCACCTTTCCAATCCAGGTGCCCAGGAGGCTGACACACACCTTCCCATTGTCGTACAGGTTGGGGTTCAGGCGTCCACTGCACTGGGAGAGGTAGCAGAAGTGGGGGGGCACGGCTGGGTAGATGTTGGGGAGCTGAATGTCAAACAGGTAGAGGCCATCCTCATAGGGGGTTCGGGTGGGGCCCTTGATTAGGGCTGAGAAGAGGTCCTAGGAGGGAGGAAGGGAGGGAGGGCCAAGGTTGGCACAGAGGCTCTGGCTTCCCTCCTCCAGGGCCACATGCAGATCCAGGGAGGAGCACCACTCCAGCTGTGCAGGCACATGCCCTGGGGTGGGTCTGAACTCCAGAGTAAATGCCGGGAGACCCCACAGAAGCTAGGTGCCAAGTCCTGAGGGTGTGTGTGTGTATCAACTGCCCAGGTCCATGATGTGGGAGGGTGAGGAGCAGGAAGGCAGAGAGGGTGAGGTCCCCTAACTGGAGTAATGGGATCCTCTCAGGCACAATCTGATCTGTGCACCCTGCCAGCTTCTGAGATTTGGGAAAAAACACCACCAACTAGTGCTCCCTTATTCCCTTAGCAGAGCTGAGACTGGAATTTTCCCTAAACTCAGGAACAATAAAAGTGTTACTAAAATCTCAAGTCGCACTGAGCCTTGCTCCGCTGCTGCCGGCCAGCATGGGCCTGTATGAACAGGGCTCCTCCTCCTAACTCTTCAGCTCCCTGCTCCTTTGTTCTATGGCCCTTCTGGTCTAGGACAGGGTGCAAGCTGGGGCCTCCGACTCACAGTCAGTGTCTAGCACAGTGCCTGGCTCATGGTGGAGGCCCAGTCCTTACAAGTCTCTCAACAGGACTCAAACGCCAGGCCCGTCCAGGAGCAGAACAGAAGGCACACGCTGGGTCAGCTGAACCACGGGGTCAATCCCAAGAACCATGGGCTAAGAGAAGGGAGCCGGCTACAGGGCTTTAGGACGCACCACTCTGTGTGAACATGTCGTACAAGACACTGTTTACACTGGCAATGCACAAGAATCACAAATGTTCAAAAGAGGTTGTGGGAGATTGGCTGAGGTTCAACCTCCAGGAGTAGGAAAGGCCTAGGACCTGGGGGAAAGGAGGTGAGGACTGGTCCCTGGCAACTTTAGCTTCTCTGTAATATTCTGAGTCTTCAGAAAGAAGAGTAGACTCAGGAAGTTGTAAGAATTTCTAGCTAATTTTTTAAAGAAAGAAGGAAAGAATGAACCACCTGGTCTAGACCTCTGTGGCTGATGACTCTGTGTCAGAGCTCACCTGACTGAGCTGTCACCTCCCCTATAAAAGAAGGTGGGTAGCCCTGGAGGTGCTGGCACCCAAGGCTGGGCACTAAGTGCCTACATGGCCCACTTGTGCTGGCCCATGCCAAGCCCGTGCTAGCCCACTTGCCATTCTGTCCTCGAAAGTCTTGACCATGATGCCATCAGGAAGGGAGGTAGCCAGCAGCGCCATTTCCTTCCGTACAGTGCTGAAAAACTTCTTGGCTTCTGGAGGCTGGAACTCAATTTTCTTAAAAGAGTGATTTGCTGCAGGGGAAAGAGAACAGTCTCAGGGGAGGCCTGGCACCTCCTGCTGCACACCTGGCCGCTGCCTCGGGCAGTGTGGCCTGGAGGGAGAGCGGCCTGGTGTGCTCCAAGACAGACGGGTTGGCCCAGGTGCCTCCCACTTGCTCCTGGCATCAGGAGTGTGACCACTAGGAATGGCAGAAGTGGTGGCTGGGAGGGGACAGACCACCCGGCCTCCAGGTCTGAACACAAATGGGAGGCCCATGGTAGGCCCAAGGTGAAGGCCAGGGGAGGGCTGACTCACAGGGCGCAAACTCCAGCACTGAGAAGACCTCGCCCTTGGCACTGGTGAAGGTGACACCAGGTTTGCCACCACATTGCTGACAGAGCACAGGGGTCTCGCTAGGCCACTCGGCCTTCACTGGTGACTGCCCCTCAGGCTTGTCCTCCTTGCGCTCTGTGTCAGGCGCGGCCTCCATCTTCTCCTCCTCTGCGATGGCCACATTGTCCAGGGTCTTCTTAAGGTTCTCCTGTAGCTTCTTTATATCATCCAGAAACTTCTTCTCCCGGGTTGGCTTCTCGGGCTCCACGGTGGGGGAGGTAGGGGAGCCGGTCAGCAGCTGCTCCACAGTCATGTTCTTGAGGCTCTCCAGGATCTTGATGGCTTCCTTTAGCTCCCGGAAGCTTTTCGGGGGACCGTCCTTGCCAGCCTTCTCCATCAGCCCCGCCATGGGGGCGGCCATGGCCACAGCTCCCTGGATGGCAGCTGTGGCCGCCTCTTCACTGATCACCACCCCCTTGTCCTCCTCAGGAGCGGCTGGCTGCTCAGCAGGTGGGATGGGGGGCTCCTCTATCTTGGGGTGCTCGTCCTCCACCAGCCCATTGTCTGTCTCCCAGCTGTCACTGTCGTCCTCCCACTCATCTGAGGACGCCCCACTGGTACTGCCTTCCACGGAATCGTAGTCTGACTCCTCGATCTCGGATTCAATGTTGTACAAGTGCTGGGGAGGAGGGAAGTGCCACAGTAAGACGGGCGCTCCCCACACTGCGGTGGCACCCCTCATTGCCCATGGACCCTGTGAGGCCTTGTGAGGGACCCCATTCCACTCTCCCCCCTCTTTTCTGCTCTTCCCTATGTAGCTGGAGCCTTTCTGTCCCCGGGTCTCTGGGAGGGGCCTTGGCCTGTCCCACCCTGCCCCTTGGTAGGACCCAAAGGCCCAGCTGACAGCCCACACTGACCTCCTCTCCTCCTCTGTGCTCGCAGTTCCTAGCATCTCTCCAAGGTTGAGGGCCCAGAGGGAACCTCAGCAAACCCAGTCCCTACTGCAAAGACTCAGGCCAGCTGCATGAGGGCAGGATGGCCTTTGTGGTCTGCTCCAGGGCTGGGAAGATGAGCTAGGAGGGGAGGGCCAGCTGCGCCGTGCAGGCTGCTCAGGTAGGGTGCGGGAACAGCAACCTCCCTGGCACTTAGCAGCCAGCAGAGGGGCTGGAACTGGGGCCAGCTCATCTCCTTTCCCTTCCCTGTCTGTCAAAGATCTCCTGAACCCGCTAAAGCCTTTATTTCTTCTGAGGAGGAGCGTGGGCTTTCTCAGCACAGTGAGAGTCCAGCAGAGTCCTGGAGTCTGTGAGCACCCACAGGCACCAGGTGATCTGGAGGGCCTCCACCCCTCACCTGGGCTCGGTGGGGAAACACTGGAGAGAGCCAGTCACAGACTCTCAGGACCACAGGTGGGCCAGAGTCGTGAGCTCAGAGGGTAGGTCTTGCCATCTCACCTGGGGCAGGATGATGGTCTTCGAGTTGTCAGCCCATACCACCTCCACCTTGCTGCTGACGTCCACACGCGCCACCTGGCCCACTGATGGCTGCTGGGCAAAGGGGACAGAGTTAGGAGGGCAGCCTTCTGGGAGGGGCAAGGGCCAGAGCATGCTGAAGGAGCTCCAGCAGTGGGAGGATGGGTGACGTTGTGAGGACTGAGAACAGGGGCACCTCTCACTGTCCAGGGCCTAGTCCTCTGCCTGGCAGCGAGCCCCCACTGATTCCTTCCCAAATGGCAGCAGGCAGGCGCCTCTCGGCTTCTCTTCCTTCCTGGTGTGGGGTTTCCTGCCTCCACTTTTGCTCCCACTCTTCTGCCTGGAACCTGCCATGACCCATCCAATGTTCCCACAACTTCCTTTAAGTCTGGCCCATGCTCCACCTCCCAAGTCTCGCCTGGCTCTGTGCTCACGGAGTTTGTGACACAGGGTCAGGAAGCCTTTCAGGTCACATCTCCTGGAGCCACCTGGTGGCAACACCAGGGACTGCAGCCACACACAGGCAGGAAGCAGCAGTCCAAAACTTGAACCTGGAAGTATACCTCATCCTCTGTGTGGGGAGCCCCATCCTCAGTGTTGCCAATGCGGATGACGATGTCAGTTGTGCGGAACCGAAAGTCAGGATGGTCAGCAATGTCATAAACACTCACGTCTTCCTCTTCTCCAATGAGCTGTGGCAGAGGACAGCTGTTTTGAGTCAGGGGCCCTCGTCAACCCCGGAGCCCACCTGAAGGAAGCAACAGGGCCGCACACACTCACTTCCACATCGTCCCCACTGGGTCGCAGCTTGAACCACTTCACCATACAGGTGCGGCCAATGTGGTCCCCAGACTGCACCACGCCATAGACTGCAGGATCCGGGCAACTCTGGACTAGGGAACCAGAGGGGACATAACCAGCTAAGGATCCCTGGTGCCTTCCGCCACTGTGTCTAAAACCAGGCCTCCCCCATCCTCAAAGGCAGCCTCTGCTGACCTCAGCTTAGCTATGACCCTGAGGCCCCCATGCCCACCCTTCCTAGCACCCTCCGAGGCCCTGTGTGCAGCTGCCTGCTCGCTGACCCCATAGCTGGCACTACCTCGCTTGTCCACCACAAAGTCTCCAGGGCAGAACTCATTGTTGTCCAGGTGGTGCACTGGGAAGAGGTCGTTGGAGCGGATGTTGCACTCCACGGAGCCATCCTGCCACATCACGTCAGCAGAGGTCATCGTGGTCACCACCTCCACTGCCACCCTGCCGGGTGCAGGCAAATAAGCCAGAGCACACACAAATGCATCTCTGGGGAAAGGGCGGGCAATCTTTCTGCCCCTTCCCTGCCCCAAGGGGCTTGGAGCTCCAAGTTCTGAACCCCAGGTGGGTAGGAGAGAGTGCCTGGTGGACACAGGACTCACCCATACCCCAGTGTTGCAGTCCCAGAAGACCAGATGTGGGGCCATTGCCACTATTCCATGCTCCTGACCATTCCCACTTTCCCTGTCCACCAGGAACCACCCTGAGCACAGCATGTCATCCTGGGTGGACACCCTGAGCTGTTAGGAGGCTCACAGACCCTATGTGTTCTCGAACACCCGGGAGCTGAGGCCCTGGGGCTTGGTCTCAGGCTGGATGCTGAGGGCTACGGCGAATTTACCTGTCCCCTGGCTTGAAGTCACGAGTTATTTTATTCTTCTTCCTCTTGTGTTTTCGCTTTAGATTCTTGATGGACAAGGGGATGCTCTTTTTGCGACCTGTGCCGCTGCCGCTCTGGGAGGAGGTGGTGGAGCTGGCAGAAGAGGTCACTGAGCTGGTGTCGTCCGTGTCATCGGCAGCCTCATCATCTGCATCCTGCTCTGCTGAGTGCAGCCCATTGTCTCCACCCTCCTTCAGCAGGAAGGGAGGCAGTGCCTCGCCTGACTCATGGGGCTCTTCTGAGCCCTCGTCCTGCATCTCTACTGGGCTAGCAGACCCGTCAGGTGGCTCCTCGGGGCTAGCAGACCCTGTTTCGCTCTTGGTTTTGGTGTCCCCTTTCTTGTCTGGGTCCTCCATGGAATGGTCCCTGGAACACTGGGTGTCCGGGGAGCATGACATGATTCTCACAACCTGCCTCTTCAGCAGACGCTTCACCTGCAAGGGCAGAGCAGGGAGGACTGGTGCTGTAGAGAGCAGTAGGTGCTGGGCCCTGCCCTGGGCTTGTGGGATGCCTGGGCTGGCCAGGCCCCAGGCTACCTGAGGGATGACAGCTATACATGCCTACTGGCCCTCAAGGGTCCTGAGGGCTTCCCCCCAAGGCCTAAAGCACAGACCATCCTTCCTGGCCATGGAATTGGCTCAAGGCCAGTTCCTCAAATGCCCACCAACCCCAGTCCAAGGACATACCTTCTTGGCCATAGAGCCCTCCCCCTGGGCGCAGTTTTTTTCTGGACATTCCCAGGCAATCTTGGCCGGCTCTACCTTGGCTGGGAAGACATACAGACAGCGCTCCCCAAGCTGCCGCTGAGCATGGTCAAAGCATCCGAGACGCTTCACCCTGGGGGCGGGAAAGCAGGGGCTGGGCTGGATATCTGAGAGACCAGGGGTGTTCTTTGCCCTCCCATGCATCTGTGGCTGGGGCCCTGGGGCTTGCCCAGGGGGTGCCCAGTGATTGGGGCACACTCACCTGCCTAGGTTTTCCTGAGTGATGACAGAAGGTGGGGGGCTGACGCTGTCCGTGCCTCCAGGGCAGAAACTCTTGGTAATCCAAGTAACTTTCAACTCCACAACCTGCACCTGAGGACAGCAGGTGGCACAGGGCCACTGTCAGGGCAGGATCTAACAGTGCGTTCTTCCCCCAGCTGCCCAGAGTCCCCGGGACATCCTGAGTAGGAAAACACCACATGAAGACACACCGTAGCACCCCATGCTGGTCAGGGGCCACTGTCCCTCGGTCTGTGTAGGGGACGTAGAGGGACTTCTGCATACTGGCCACTTCCTGAACAGACCCTGGGCTCCCTTTATCCTTATTGGCCCTTTCAGACCAATAGGGTCAGATGCTGAGCAGCAGGCAGAAAGCGGCAGAAGCTTGGCTCCAAGGGGCGGAGGCTGACTCCCGCCCTGCCCCCACTCCCTACCTCCTCCACCACCACGCGGAACTTGCTCTTGGTGCTGAGCACAGGCTTGACCCCTGACAGCCACTGGACACTGGAGAAGATCTTAGCAGGGCCGATGAGCACCTGGCCCGGGTAGAAGCCATAGGAATCATCAAAGAAGAGACCCTGCGGGATTTAGGGCCAGGGAAAGTCCTTGTGAGAGGGGCCTCCTTGGGGACAGTGTTCTCTGTACCTGCCTTCTCCAGCCTTCACTAGCAGAAGCCTTCACTTACTGAGGCTCTCACACTCCCTACAACACCAAGGATCTTGTTAGAGGGTTGCTGCAGACTACTCTCTGTTCCTTACTGGCTCTTGGGCACTGTCAGTGCTGCTGGGCAGGGGCCACACTTCAGATGAAAGCCCTAGAAAGCAGTGGTTCCCCACCTTGTTTAACCGAGCAACCCCCACCCCAGTACAAACCATATCCACACACTACTGTGCTAATAGGTCCTATTGGACTAAGTTTTTCTACAGATTAAGACAGAGATTTTAAAAGGATGATATAAAAAATGAACATGGATGCATATAAATTCTGATACTTCCTGCCTACGCCCAAACTTTCAGGTGCACTGGTGTCTACTTGGAACCCACTTTTCTTAGCCAGGGCCAGCTCTTTCTTCAGTAGCCCTCTCTTCTGTGGGCTGGAGGGCTGAGGAGTGAGAGAAGCTGCTCCGGCACAGCACACCTACCGAGTCGCTGACATGTGGGCAGACGTCATACAGCTTGGCGCCATCTTCTGTGTTCATGGAGCACCTGAAACAGCAAATGGAGGCTTAGTCCCCCCCAGGAACACAGTGCCTGAGCAACAAACTGTGGTGGTACAAAGGTGCCAAGACATCCACGTGCCTACCATAGGACCATTTATCTTCCACCAACAGCTCAGCCTCTGAGAAGGTCCAAGACTCTAAGCCCCACCTGAGTGCTCACTGCTATTTGAGTGTCTACGTAAAGCCTGGTCCCTGGCAGACATCCTAAAGGAAAATGTTTCACCAAACCAAGATGGACCAGCAACTGAGAGGGAATGAGGTCACCACAGATGTGGAGAAGACCTTGGGGCTTAGCCCTGAGACACAGGCCCTGACACCTGCCACTGCCCTAGGTCAGACCTGTCACCACAGACCTCACAAGGACACACACTCCTGCGCTCCTTCCAGCAGGCTGCTCTTCTCCAGCTGGTGGCTCTTTGGTGGGGATATACTTACCTGGCACCGTTGGATAGCTTCAGAATGATCTGGTTCTTCAAGTCATAGACCTTCCCCAGCCAGCAGTCGTAAGCGATGTAGTCCCCATACATGAAAGGCTGCAGACCAAGGGCACAGGGACAGTAAGACAGCAGACACTGCTGATGCCAGAGGAACAATTCCTTTGTGCCCCACTAAGACAGGTGGGGAAGGCTCTCGACAGCTTATTGTTTGGACCAGTTGGCTGCTGGCTTAACAAGTGCCATTAGCAGGCCATCCGCCGAGTTTCAGGCTGTATCCTGACCCGCTTCTTAGTGAGGCGGCTGCAGAGGTGTGGGAACTGGGAGAGTCAAGACAGGCAGGGGAGACAGCCATACAGCTGGGAGGTTGACTGAAGTGTTCAAGTAGGTAAAGGGCTGGAGTAAATAGGTCATACATTCACAATATGAAAAACCCAGTTTCTCACCGCTGAAGGAGGTGCTCACCACAAAGGGGAGGAGAGAAGGTAATCAATCAGAATGGAGGTGTCAAGATGAATGCATACTTTTTCATGTAGAGGCAGAGTAGGCACTGACATACTAAGGTGTAGTGTGCCTCTCATACGTACATTGTATACACATGTGCATTTCATGGTATGTTCCTAAGAGGGCCCAGGAGCCATCAGCACACCTAACATCCAGATCTTAGCTTCTTGGGTATCTTCTATTGTTTGTTTGGTGCTGGGGATCCAATCCAGGGCCTTGTGTATGTTAGGCAAATGCTTAACCCCTGAGCTACACTTCCAGATTCTGCTTTTTAAAATGCCATTCTTCTCTGAAAGGAACCAGGCTCCTTGGAGAGAAATGGTTGATTGCTGGCTGGATGGGGGATATTTTCACTGTGCCAGAAAATAAGAAAGTGCTTTAAGAAAAAAGGAATGTGGGAAAAGAGCACCACAAAAAACTGGGAGTAATGGCATGTGCCTGAAATCCCAGCTACTGGGGAGGTAGTGCAGAGGAATCAAAAGTTCAAGGCTGGCTTGTGCAACTTAGTGAGGCCCTGTATCAAAATAAAATAAAAAGAGCTGGGGGTACAGCTTAGTGGTAAGGTACCCTGGGTTCAAGCCCTAGGAACACCACCCCCCGCAAAGGACCACAAAAGTCAGCCTGAAGGAGCTTCCATCAGCCAAATCTGGGACAATTTAGGCAACAAAATAAGTAATGGTAGTAATGGATTACAATCAACTGAATAAAACAGAGTCTACACTGATACAAAAAATGAACAAATAGGTCTGGGGATAAAGTTTAGTGGGAAAGCATGTGCTTAGCATGCACCAGGCCCTGGGTTCAATTTCTAGGCCTGCTAAAACAAACCAACCAACAAACCAAGACAATAAATAAATAAATAAATAAATGGGGCAGTAGGTGAAGTTCTTCAATAAAGTAGAATGCCAGCTGGTACAAACGAGAATGATGGCCTCCAAATCACCATTTAGTAACCACTAGAGTGGCCACTGGTTTAGTGGGAATTGTTCCTCAGGCTAAGGCTGGTGGAATTGGAGTTTAGCAAGTACCAGGTTACTGACACAATCTTAGAATATTTCCCTACAAGATATCACCACTTAAAAAGGGGCAAATGACGACTGTATGGTGGAAAGAACCGGTGACAACCAATGTGATGGGAGCACAGTGAACTCTCCCAGCAGTGCAGCAACCAGACTTGGACTGGATCAAAGCTGGCAGTGGCAGTCGCACTGCGCATGCCAGGACCAGGCTAGTCATGAGACAGCATCACACAGGCCCAAGGTGAGGGTCACAGTACTAAACGTATCACTGTCCAGGATATGAGAGAGAGAAAGACTGGGGTGACGGAAGAGTTCACAGCTAAATGCAGTATGTTCCTGGTTTTCCAAACCAGGATCGGGACAGTGAACAGGGTCTGAAGATGGAAGTAAATGTCAATGATGGAGCTGGGTGCAGCGGCGCATGCCTGTAATTCCAGCAGCTCGGGAGGCTGAGGCAGGAGGATCATGAGTTCAATGCCAACCTCAGCAACTGCGAGGCGCTAAGCAATTCAGTGAGAGACTTTGTCTCTAATAAAATATAAAATAGGGCTGGGGATGTGGCTCAGTGGTCGAGTGCCCCTGAGTTTAATCCCTGATACCAAAAAAAAAAAAAAAAAGGTCAAGGTTGGTCTGTGTGGTGGTTACATGGGAGTGTGTCCTGGTTTCTGGAAAACATATTGTAGTGTTCAGGGGTGACAGGCATTATGTGGGTAGCTTGCTATAAATGGTTCAGAGAAGAAACACTGGAAATGGGGTGTGTGGGGAAGGAGGGGATACGTGATGGGGCCAACAGAGTGATGCGCTGTTAGCCGAGGAAGCTGGATGAGGGCGGCACAGGAATCTATACCTTTTTTAAAGTTTCAAATCATTCACAAAATGAATATTGAAAAGAAATGTTTGCTTTTTTGGTAGGAAGGGCTAGAGGAGAAAGAAGACCAGTAAAGACAACCCCACTGGCAACTGTGCCGGGGCTGGGGAGACATCCCTACCGGGGTCTGGGTGGCAGGCAGCTACCACGAGACTGCCAGGAGTCGGGTGGCCCGGGCTGTGTCTAGAGGTCGGTGAGCTGGCACACAGATGTTGCGCTGCTGAGAGAACCACAGAGCTGAGAGAAGTCAGGGAGGGGCCACTCACCCAGATGTGCTGGAGGTCCTTGCTGTTGACGGGGTAGATGATGCAGTTGGTGCCAATGAGCTTGACAGCACAGTCGATGTTGACGTCTATCACGGTACCACACTGACTGTCCTGGGGGAAGGCAGAGGTGTTCAGAGTAAGGCCAGCACAGAAGACCCTACCTCAACCATCCCAATCAGCCCCCACTAGAACCAGGCAGCTCTCTGGCACAGAGGCTGGGCAGGGAGGCTCAAGTCTCCGAGGCGGCTTCCCTGAGGCCCAAACTGGGGTGAGAATATGGGACTCACAGTGGAACGCATGTGCCGGACCACATCACGGGGCACCACAGAGCGGTCCTCTAGCTTCAGCTGTAAAAGAGGAAACACGGGTGTTAGAAGAGTGCCGGGAAGCCTCCACACGATGCATGTTTCTTCCAGCTTTTGAAGTGCACCATCGGCACTACAAAGACACAGGCCCAAGTGCCTGGCTAAGCCAGCTCCCAGGTCCACAGAGGGACATGTCCCACCCAGTAGTCCCAGTGCAGTATAGTCACCATATTCCACCAAAAACAAGTACTAGGTCACGGGAGGTGTTCTCGATCTTTAAGTGTGGCTGAATGACAGACCGCAAAAGGCCTCATGTTAGTGCAAGATTTAATAGGCTATCCATGGAATCCTCTTCTACCTCCTGCAGACACCCCACCCTTTGATCCCAGTGCATCAGGATGACAAGAGCAGGAGGGGGATGGGTCTGACACTGAGCTGTGGTGGGTCACCCTGAGGCTGGGCTGTCACTACACCATGTTCTAATCTGGGTTATCCCTCCTGCCCAGCTGCAGCCTGCTCCTTATCTACACGCCGCAGAGCCCTGAGGGCTGCTGAGTAGCTCTGGGGATGGCTGGATGCAGAAGCCTGGCCAAGTGCACAGGCACCTGACCCTTCCCTGCAGAGCCCACAGCTCCCATCTCCTGCTGCTGCAAGCTGCTGGATCCCCCTCCAACAGCCCATGCAGGGGTGGGTTCTCCACTAGACCAGCCTATCTTTTCTCTCTGGGTCCCTGAACCTGGGCCACTCCTGTGATGCTTCCCTGACTCACAGGAATAGGTGGGCCTCTGGATCTGCTCACTTCCAAGTTCCCTAACCATGGGATTTGGAGGGCTGTTGCCTCAAATGCCACCTTACTGGACAGCCTCTAACAGTGGCCTCTGCTCTCAGCTACTGGAGCTCAGAAACATGACTACCACAAAAGCTAAGCCAAAGAAAGACTTTTTAGGTCTGTCTTTTCAAGATCACTGAAATTTTGGCAATGACAAATAAAACAAACTCTATTAGTAGCATGTGACTTAGAACAAAGTAAATGGAAACAAAGTAAATCCACCATCATCCAGTAGTGCTGAAATTTCCACAGGGAGCCCAAGGCTTGTGAGGAGACTAGTGGTCCAACAGAGTCTTCCTAGCAGATGCTGAGGAATCTTGGGGCGACCAGCTCCTATCTGCAGCCACCACCCTGACAGGCCAGGTTCTTCTTACCTCTGCTCCAAGACACACCCACTATAAGGGCATGTTGAAATGCCAGTGTCCGTTTCTAACTAATATGGTGATGTTTTATGCAGTAGCACTGTGTACCCGAATCTCTGCTCTGGGGCATGACACTTTTTGCACTGCCCTATCTCAAACCCATGCCCCCAATTCAGATATCAAAAACCATAATTGGGGTTCAAACTGTCACAGAGAGAAACAATCCAAGGGGAAAGGGATTGTGTTGTAAGGGGCAGGAAGGTGCCTTAGGGGAGTGCCCAGCTCATTCTGTAGATCACATCCTCTGGGGGCTTTATGCCCCTGAGAAAGCTGCCAGAAAAGGGACAGCAGCCAGGCCCCATCCTGGACCACTCTGAGCTCCCACATCACATGGTCCAGCCTCATGTCCCCAAGGGCACAGAGGAAATAGGCTCTCGTTCCCAAGCAGGAACACAACAGTGGGTAAAAGCTGGCAGCAGGGGGAGGCAGTGGCCCGTGGGGCAGGCAGAGCATGTTCCCGGGAGGAGCTTGCAGCAAGCGCTGCACCTGTGGGACTGTCAAGTATGGCTGGGCTCCACCTGGGAGCGGTCTTCTAACAAGGCACTGCAGTTCCCCATGCCTGATGGTGCTGAAGCAGAGAGGGAAGGAGCGACAGGGAAGGGGAGGATGGCGCCACCATGTTGGCCACAACACCCCCCCCCCCACCCCGGGAATCCCAGGAGGCAGACACAAGGGTTTGGCAGGGCTCCCTGTCCTTGCTGGCGTCCCGTCCTCACTGATACACTCGACACTGCACGCGCTTCCTACACTGTGCCTGTGCTGTCCCACCCATGGCTGCTGCACTGCACAGCAAGATCCCCAGGACCCCTTCCCATCTGTGTCCCTGTGTGCTGCCTGCTTCCCTGCTCTGCAGTGGCCTTTCAATGTCCCCATTCAGGAAGGAACCACTGTGCAAAGCTGGGGAGCTGGCTGTCCTCTGCCTAATGCCAATGCCAGGTACTTATTGTGACCAGGCAGTTTTCTAGGCCCTTTGTAATCTTGTCTATGGACTTGACACTTGCTATCATTATGGTTATTCCCCATTTTAAAGATAAGAAAACAGAGACAAAGAAAAAGCAAACGCAAGCAATCTGTTTAAGGTCACACAGCTTGTAGGTGAGCCCTGGTCTTGAACTTGGCAGCCTGGCTCAAGAGTCCTTTCTCTTAGACACATTAAAAAAAAAAAAAGTTACCCTTTAGGGCTGGGGATACAGCTTGGTGGTACAGGATTACCTAGCACGCACGAGGCTCTGGGTTCAGTACTCAAATCTGCACACGTGTGGGCGCGTGCACGCGTATACACAGACACACAGAACCTCGTTCTACCCTCAGAGCTACAGAGATAAGAACAGAATAAAATGTATTTCTGGAAGGTCCACACACTCTTAAAGAAAGTGGATCTTCTGGTTATAAAGGTAATAAAATGTTTCTGGGGCTATTGGGAGATAGTTGTGGCAGCCTCTAACAGTGGATACCATCAAGGCCCTGAGCAGGGGAGGATTGGCAATTTGCCCTCCACTTTCCCTTCTACCCTAAAAGGTCAAGTACGGTACCCAAACCACCAGTGCCAAACTGTGCTGAGAGGTGAACACTAGAGGGCGCCATGCCTGCTCTAGGAAAAAGAGGTTCTAGTGCAAAACCAAGGCTGTGAAACAAACCCCTAATCCCTACATTAAAGAGCTCCCTGGATGTCCTTTTTAAAACACTGTTACTAGGGAGGGGAGTTGAAGTGGGAGGTGGGTAGATTTCAATTGTCACGGCTCTAGAATTCTGAACAACATCAGAGCTGAGGAACTACTGACTACCATGGAAAGCCACAGTGATCAGAGGGTTCTAAATGGAAAAAGGACAAGACAGACACCAAAATGCTAACATTATCTCTATGTGGGAAGGGCCCTGGGTGGTTCAAAATGCATGTGGATCACTCTCAACAGGCAAAATGGGGCTGCCTGGTGGGGCCTTGGGACCGGCGGCCCCTGATACCTCCTCCTCTGGAAGCAGAGGAATCTGGCCTTTGCTGTGAGAAGCAGAACTGAGTCTTTAGGAGCTCACTGTCTGGCCAGTGCTGATGGAGCACTTCATGAGCCAGGCGCTGGGGAGACCAGCCCCTGCTCTGCCAAGCCCCCATCCCAGCACAGGGCGGGAAACAGACAGATGCAGGTCAGATGGTGCTCAGAGCTGTTCAAAAAAACAGGGCAATGTGGGGAGGGGAAGGGAAGACAAGGGAGTTACTTTAAATAAGTGGTCAGGAGGGGACACCCTGAAGTGACATTTGACCAGAGAACTGGGTGAAATAAGGGAGGGATCTTTCCAAGCAGAGACAAGAACAGCCACAGAGACACTGGGAAGAGTGAGCATGTCTAGAGGCCCGCAGGGCTTCAGGAGTGGGAGAAGTGTGCAGCCAGGTCATTCAGGCCTTGGAGATTCTGTTTTGAGCAGGTGGGAGCCCCTGCAGGCCTGAGCAAAGTAAAAGGGTCGTCTGGCTGTCAAGCAGAGAACATGGAGAAGGTGCAGGGAGATCAGTTTGTGCAATGGTTTTTCAACTGGGAGCCATCATGCCCCCAAAGGACATTTGGAAATGAAAACATTCTAGGCTGTCACAACTGGGGGCCAGGAGTGCTGCTGAACATCCTACAGTGCACAAGGTCATCTGACCAGAGTGTCGGCATTGCCCAGGCTAGGAGCCCTAAGACTGTTCAGGGTCAAAGGTGCCAGCACCAGTGCAGTGGCACACAAGATGGGTTAATGGACCTCCTCCTTCTGGATAAGTTCTTTTGCCTTTCCCATTATTTTTTTAGTTGACACATAAAAATTGCATGTATTCGTGGGTTATTGGAGAGATTCTGAGGCAGAGCAAAAAGGAGTTTAAAAAAAGAAAGCAATCCAATGGCAAGGGAGTGGTAGAGGACAGTCCCAGGGAGAAGGCCACTGAGCAGGGCACATGGGCACTTCTGTCCTTCCTCCATTTGAACTATTAGCTCACCAGATGGCTGTCCTGTCAGGGTACCAGCTTCCTTCTGAGGCTCACACTGATTCTGAGAGGCAATCTCGAGGCCTGACCCTGACAAGACACCAGAAGAAGCTAGCTTGTCCTGTGATTCCTGGCCCAGACCCTCACTGACTTTGGCTGACCACAGAAGAATTGAAATTTATGTTTATGTTCCAAGAATAGAAAAGGCAAACCAAGTTTGATAACAGGTTGAAAACAGAAGGAAGTAAAACAAAAAGTCCACCTGAATTGTTCTTGAACATCATGGGAGTGGGTGACCCTCAGGCTGGCCTGCTGAGTGGAGGTCAAGAGCTGCCCTGGGGAAGAAATGGTCTTGTGCCTGGTCACTAGCACCAGCATCTGGAATGCTCAAAGAGGGAACTGTAGGAAATCCAAAGGAGAAGCTCTAGTGGGGCTGAGCATACATATCTCAAGGCTGGGAACCCCAGCCACACCACTGTCACCCCCTGTGTCAAACACCAGGGAAGGCCCAGAGATGTGGTGTCCTTCAATCTCAGAAGGTAACCATCCACTTTTCCTGGGGATTAATGATATTATCAGTACCACATCTTCATCTTACAAGTGGGAGTAGTTACAAACACAAAAGGCCCAGCAGCAGACCAAGCCGACTGCCAGCCCACATCCGGTCCCTGGAGATGGGTTAAAGGACCTCCTTCTGGAAACTTGGGAACAGTTTGCAATGGCCCCTAGTTTGGGTTTTGTTCAAAGAGTGAGGTTTCGCCTTCACTGGACTGAGCCAGGCCTTAGAACTTGGAAACTCACACGAGGAAAGAAGCTGTTGACCCAGGCAGCCTGAAGCCCA